GTGTAGAGGAAGAGTGTGGCCAACACGACGCCGCGCGAGGATTCGGCTGCGAACTCGACAAAGTTGATCATGAACATGTTGGTGTACCATTGCGACAATCGACGTCGCGGGCTCGCATCGAAGTTCATGAGCTTCGCCGGTTCGGCCGTGCCGTACGTGGCCCCGGTGTTAACGGATAGCGCAGTCATCGTCGAAGATAGAGGGCGTGAGGGCTTCGGCGAGGCTCGGAAGAATGTGGAATGAGCTACTGCATTGGATCGGCGGAGACTGGAGGGCGGGGCGACAGCCTCGCATGCATACTGTGCCCAGCATAACGAGGTCAGGAGCAGCAACGTCAGTGGACACACAAAAAGGACGCGTTTTCGGCCAACTGAGACCTGATGGTATTTGTCTCGTAGGCGTAATGTACGAGGAACCAAAGCAGTAAGTAGGCTACGATGACGTCCAGATCGAATCTTGGGCCAGACTGGACCCAGCCCAATGCTCTCCATGTGCTGTCGAGTGCCACCGTCCAGAAGGGTGTCTGTCTGCATTATCTCTGCCCAGCCGAAATGAAGCCATTACGCTAGACTAGTACTTAAGTAGAATTACCTTACTGTACAGTGTTGTTCAAGCCTCGACCGCTTACAAATTGTGGTGGAGTTGAGTGTATTGATCCCCACGGTTAGCTTTGTGTGCGACGAGGTGGTGTGTTGTGTATGACAGTTAGTATGAGAAAGGGATTAGGAAGAACTAAGAGCTCAGCTCACTCTTCGAAATACAAGCTAAGTAGCAGACACTTGCTGCTGCTGACTGTCAGAGTCCAGCTTATCTCTGCGTGCCTTTATCAGTCAAATTTTTATGACTGCGTGGTCTTCCGCCTTACTCAGCCACGTGACAGTCTCCTTCAACAACGACGACAGCGTCCTAAGTTAGGACCTAACAGAGCGCTTGCAATGCAGGTTGCTCACTCCCTATCCACTTAGGACGCCGCTGAGGTGTCGAGCGTTGCCTCCAGTCGCTCATGAAACGAGTGACGTCCGGTGCAACACGCCCAGCTGTTGAACTTACCGGCTGAGTTTGAACACGAACCGCGAAAGCCAAAAAAAAGTATCTTCGCGTTGTTCCGGCCTCGCCCATCCCGCACTTGTTCCGGCCTTTCGCCATATGTTGAAGTGTGAAAACTTTTCACTGAAAAGCTACGTCGACGCAGTTGCTGTCGCTGCCAGGAGCTCACCTCGTTTCGCTTCGCTGGCAAGGAATCGCTGCATGTAGAAGAGGCCCACAGCAAATGGCAGTCAATCTCCGATTCTTCCGTCCGGCAAGATACTTTGAGTTGCGCCGGCATGCCGGGAGTGTGACTTCTTCAGTAGCAAGTAAGCAATGCGAGCTTCATAGAGTATCGTGTCGGGTATCACACAACTTGTGTACCTTCGATGCCGCTTCTGCTAGCAATAATTACATGTAAGTTTACCTCACGGGCACCTTTGGCATAAAACTGGACAGAGACAATTAAACGCGACGAAAGCCAAGATGGCGAGGAAGCGTGTGTTTCAAGTGTAAGATAGCCTTACTAAGAGGCAGAATGAAGTCATAGTCTTCAGACCCGGTCTTTCGCGACGACGACGCTCGGGGGGTACGCTTTTTCGGTGTCACGGAGCAAGTCCATCCTAGTCTCATTCTCGAGGCGATTGAACCACCACAGCATCACTATGCTAAGAACGCACAGCGAGATGTTGATCCAAAACACAGGAGTTAGTGCCGATAAGGCAGCGGGGACGAGGGGCAGTATAATGCGCGAGACCGACGCAGCCGAGCCGAATAACCCCATGAGTGTGCCTTGCGGTCGCCCTCCAAGAAGCTTTGAGAAGGCCGCTACACCTACTGCCGTCGTAATTGGGCAGCCCACACTCCACACTAACATCTCTGCTACTGCAAGCAGCCCAAGCGACAAACCTGTAGCAGGCACCACAACCAGCACCGCGTTACCAGCAAGCAGGGAAACAAAGCCCAGCTGTACCCAACTCGCGTCGGAGATGCTATTGCGGAAGTACTCAATCGAAAAGTACGTCACCAGTCCAAGCAAGCCCAAGTAAAACTGGAAGTTGGAGGCCTCCACGACGGCGTCTACCGTGCTCGGATCCTTGCCGGTCACCTGCAGGAAGAGCGGGATGTTCACCGTTTCGAAGACTGAAAGCATTCCTCTCGCATTAAAGTTCAGGAAGATGTATATAGCAGCACCAATGTAAATGATGCGGTCGGGCAGGCTATAGTTTTCGGTTTGTGCGTGGCTGGCTTGCGTTCTCGGGCCAGACTCTTCAGGACCATCAACAGATTTCACTGACGCATCGTACGCGAAGAGCATGCCAATGATGGACATGATGTTGAGTACAACGAGAATGGCACCGGGTGCAGTGAACTGGTTCATGTGGATACCGAGCACGTACGTGTCGGTATTGGCCACTAGACTTCCAAGTCCTGGAGTGAGAGCGTAGGCCAGGAACTCGACTGTGGACAGAATAGTAATGTAAGGCAATCGCTGACTGATAGTAGTCATGGCGGCCACATCTGCGCGGCAAACACTGCGGTTTCCAGCTCCAAACCCCACAATGAAGCGACTTGCGGAAAGCACAAGGAGACTTCCGGTCACACTGCCCTCCGCCAACAAGTACACAATATTGCCCAACAGGCAAATGGTAGAGGACACGAGGTAGACGAAGCGGAAGGAGTAGTGATCGCACATCCACCCGAACAACATCGACGAAATGAGGCGTCCGACTGAAAAGAGCGACGTGAGCAGCCCCATGTGACTCAAGCTGCCACCGAGCGACTTGGCATACAAGAAGAGTGTGGCCAGAACCACCCCACGAGAAGCCTCTGCTGCGAACTCGACAAAGTTGATCATGGCCATGTTGGCGTACCATTTCGCGACACGGTTGGATTTCTGAATTGGTTTGCCTTCAATCGAGCCATACGACACCTCGGGCCCGTCATCCTTCAGAGGCACGGTTGAGTAGTTCATCATGGCACCGCAACTTGGCCAAACGCCTGAGCAGGAAATTGCAAAATAGCTCGCGCAATGCGAGAAACAACCTTCTAGAAACGGATTATGAATCTGCAAGTGCGATCATGCAACACTGCTCGTTACGTTAAGAAATTGGCAACGATTACTAAAGTATCATCAACAGCATTTTGGTTTTTATAGCCTACTTCATCTAGTTATCTTCAAAATCCACCTTATCAGAACCCAGCGGAGATCGCAAATCGTTCGGCGGTGATACCACCCGGTAAGCGTTCTCGACGTCTGCGAGCAGAGCAACCTTGGTCCTGTACACCAATTTGCTGTACCACCACAGCAGCGCCACACTAAGACCGCACAGTGCGATGTTGATCATGAACACTGGGGTCAATGTCGGGATAGCAGCAGGCAACAGCGGCAAAATTATGCGCGAAACGGAGCCGGCAGATCCCAGAAGGCCCATAAGTGTACCCTGCGGCCGCCCGCCAAGTAGCTTGGAGAAGGCAGCCACCACAACTGCAGTCGTGATCGGGCAGCCAATGCTCCACACCAATAGCTCCGCAAACGCCAAGCGGTCAAAGGTCAGAGACGCAGGCATCACCACTAGAAGAACGTTACCCGAAAGCAGGAACATGAATCCGAGCTGCACCCAGTTGACATCCGTCATGCTCTTGCGGAAGTATTCGATGGAGAAGTAGGACACGAGACCCAGAAGACCAAGGTAGAACTGGAAGTTGGAAGCGTCCACCACTGCGACGACACTGTTGGGGTCGCTGCCAGTCACCTGAAGGAACAACGGAATGTTCACCGTCTCGAACACCGACAAGATACCGCGCGCAGTGAAGTTGAGGAAGATAAACACCATGGCGCCAATGTTCACGATACGCTCCGGCATAGATGTCAAGTCAGACAGCGTGTTCTTGGTTGCGGCGGTGTTCGGGGTCTCGAGTGGGCCGTCGTGGATGCCGACGGACGCGTCGTAAGTAGTCAGCATGGCGAAGATTGTCAGCAGGTTGAACACCACGAGGATCATGCCGGGTGAAGTGAACTTGTTGAAGTGCACGCCGCAGAAGAACACGTCCACATCCGCTACGAGACTGCCTAGTCCTGGCGTCAAAGCATACCCGAGGAAAACCACCGTCGCTAGGATTGTGAGATAGCGCAGTCGCTGGTTGACAGTGGTCATGGCCGCGACGTTGGCACGGCACACACTGCGGTTGCCAGCTCCGAAGCCCACGATGAAGCGACTTGCAGCCAGCATCGTCAAGCTATCGGTCACGTGAATGTCGGCTATGAGGTAGATGAGGTTGCCCACCAGGCAGATACCCGACGATACGAGGTATACTGATCGGAATGAGTAGCGGTCGCACATCCAGCCAAACACTGTGGACGAGATGAGGCGCCCGACGGAGAAGAGCGACGTGAGCAAGCCCATGAAGGCCAGATCGCCACCAAGCGACTTGTTGTAAAGGAAGAGCGTGGCCAACACAACGCCACGCGAGGACTCGGCCGCGAACTCGACGAAGTTAATGAGAGCCATGTTAATGTACCATTGTGTGAGACGGCGGCGTGGGCTCGGCGCAAAGTTCTTGGGAGGGGTGTCGGTCACTACGGAGCCATACGAAGATCTGATGCTGGAATTGAGTGTAGGATGCTGAACCATAGCGCGACCTCGCTCTTGCTGGAAGAATTCGACTTAAGCGTGACGAGGCAGATGCAGGAATGGAAGCTGCGGTGCTAGGTTATGAGAGCTGTGACGTCGGCGACAATCATTCTCTGGCTCGTGGCTTTAGCGAATCTTCTGGTCTTGTGTTTATCCTTACGTGTAGAAACGCGCTGAGATTTGACTTGACTTCAGTATGTCCACAACGCTGGAGATTCAACATTTTTCGTGTGGATACACAGATGTCACCGCATTTGGCTGAGAAAGTATCTTGGCAATTGGATTTCGGCGCTGTAAAAAGCAGCGTTGGGAACAAGTTGTCAACTCACAGGAAATCCTGGCACTGGCGGAACTTTCTGCTATCAATTGGGCATGCGTGCGGCTCCACCATCCATGGGACACACCAGTACAGAATCTGAGCAGCAATCCCTTGTTTCAATGTCATGCCGGCAGTATTAAAAGTGGCCACTCCACATTTGCAACCTGGAGAGGCCAAGCTAGCCATGCGCCTCGCGGAGGCGTCAGATATACCGTGAAGTTCGACAGCCTTGCAGACAAGAAGCATGGATATCTTCACCAGGACGCTCATCACGTTCATCCGCTTCGCTGCTTGTCAGTCGAGACACTGCGCGTACGTCAGCAGGATGGGTGGGTTGCTCCTCCCGTAATTGCAAATGCAGCATCGCCGGAATGAAGCTGCCCTGACGCTTGGTGTGTGTGTGTG